ATGAAAATCAATAAGTTTTGAAAATCGAATTGATAATCAGTGATTTGTGAGTAGCTCATAATGACAACAACAGCTACCAGAAAGACTTTTTTATCCAGAATAACGATATTGACCAATCGTTTTTATCTGTAAGTAGTAAATCAGATAAAAGCTTTAACCTTTTCAGTAATTATCTGTAGGCTTGTAGTGGAACACTTCAACGAAGAAAACGAGATGGGTGAAAAATAAACATTTATTATTGTACCCGTTTTGTTTAACTGTACCAAAAAACACTTCTTGTGCGCAACGTTCTTTTCTCGTTGCTGCTATTTTTCATAACGCGCTGCTCCCTAATGTAATACCTACTTTCTCCTTCAATAAAATATTCAAACATGGATTTATTTTGATTTATGTGACGGGAAAGTATGGAACATTTAGTGGTGATCATAGTCAATCTCGACTCGGTCACCATTGAAGGCTAACGAAATAATTAACAAAATTATTCGTGAAGTGATGGTTGAAGGTAGTCAATAGGAAACCCAGCACCTAGGTTTCTTATTATATGACACTCGTCAGCACTCAAATCTACCATGGAGTATCAGTTCCCGTAAGATTGCAGGTACACGTTGCTGACGAGTGCCTAAAAGTACGAAACCAAGATTAATTCTATGTACATAAATTTAGTCATGATAAAGCTGATTATGAAGTAACTTTTAAAGAAGCATTCAAAGATGACTGAAGATAATCAAGTCGAAGTCTTGTTCAACGTTGCTTTTATACTAAATGACATTTACTTTTGTTCAAAATTCCATTGATGACCATACATTTCATAAAATTCCAGATATAAGCTGATAACTACTGTGAAGTAGATAGAAATCGCGAATCAAACCCAGTTAATATGAGTTGGAAATAAATGTTACGTTTCTACAAGTTTTAAAGCAGATGAGCTCGCAATTTTTGTGAATAAGATAACTTTCTGTTATTTACCTCTAACTACACATTACCAAAATCCACAAACAACATGTTATCAAGTCAGTCAGTTACAACGTAGAGCTTTGTACTTACGTGCATAAGTTCAAGTCGCCATACCATATTAACATGTTATCAAGGCAAGCGGATAAAAGGGATGTCAATCAAGAGACTTCAATTATCATCAAGAAACAGATCAACATAAAACCCTTTGTGTTTTAATAATCAACCAGTGAAGAGTAAAATTACAATTTCGTAATAACTAAAAATGTTACTGAAATCTAAAGTGACCAAAAAAATAAAACGCAAAACATCAAGATTATATTAATGTATAAATCTCTGAGGATTATTCTATTCTCGATAAATAAACCGATATAAAGTTTAATATCTTGATCAAGACAGAAAAAATACATCGTAATTTAAACTTTAGATGTGAACTGAGTTCGAACACTTTCGCTGAGCTGTTTTGAGATTTTTTAAGGCGCTCTTTTAAGGAGTTCTATAATACAAGATGAACATGCTTATTTCTCTAGCTATAAATGATTTTTGAAATAAAATGATTCATCAAAACTATCTCCAAACTGTACTTCTTTTTCAGAAAAACAACAAACTGTACCCAATTAGCTAAAGATCAATTAAATAGTAATTTATAATAATAGTAAGTGAGTTTGTAACGTGCCAAGAATTCAAGAAGATAGAGATATAGTTTATTAACAAAAAAAGTACATCTAATCTTCAGACATTCATCTACAAAAAAAAGCAGATTACTAATGTTTTCTTTCACACCTCTTCTGATCTTTACAATAATTTGATTGAGCCATACGTTTCGACTTGACACTCTTCTCTCCGGTAGTCATTTCTGGTTGACATTCCGCTGCATACTACTTAGGAGCCAGTTCGCAATTATAATTCACCATAAATGCCATTATCTTTAATAGTATAGTCTCACGTGTGTTTTAATACAATAAAGCCTGAATATATTCATTACAAATTAATGAATGAAACTTTCCATCTTGCTCATGTGAGAAATTTAGGCTTTGTTTAAAGGTACTTCAGACTTAGATTGACATGATTATAAGATCATTTAATCCATTTCTGTTCCTTCTATAGAATCAAAAATAAATGTGTGAATGAAAGAACTGATTTCGATAAACTTTTGTGCAGACACTACACAAATAAACTGTTATATCTGTCACCTGTATTACTGTCATGCGAAATTCTTTCGACCAACTCATCCGGATCAACTTTTTACTATTAAACAACGTAAGTAATTTCCTGGTCATTTTCACTTCCACTGTAGTGAAAACCGAGTTACCAGATAAGGTCTATTTCAAAAATGTCGACAGGCACAGTAAACGAAGGAATGTATGAATGTCTCTGTGGATAAAATGAAACTGCAATATATCTATCAATGTGCACAAACTGTCCGTAACCGAAAATTGCGAAGTTTCACTGTGAGACGGCCGTTTGGCTAGTAAATACTTACATTTGAGTTCACTTGTATTTAATTTGATTAAGCCATTCGATTAACTTATTTAACCAAGCCATTTGTATAGAAACAACGTATTTGTACCATTGGTTTTTACTATTGTCATGTTTGATTGAGCTGATACTTTTGAATATTGCTTACGCCTACGTGCATTTTCATCCTATTCGCTTTAATGTTAACCTCTTATATATCTCGATGACTCGACATTTCCCTACGTATATATACGAACATTTTAATCTTATTAATTCATTCATCCATTCGCAAGTTTGCTTGCTAGTGCGTATGCCCTGTGCGTTTATGGTATGCTGATCCACTTTGTGGTGTGCTAAAAATAAACCAATTCAACACTTCGTATTTGCCTTATGATTCATAACCGTCAGGCGCTATTTGGTGACGATTTTCAAGACGAGCGAATTAAGAAGCTTAAGAACACGATGAAAATGGCCACACATATTGACAATAATCAAAACATAAGTCTACTAGAACTTATATCGACAGATTTTGATGATGGTTTCTCAAACCCCGCTCTTGTACCTTGTAGAATCCTTTTTGAATGTTTTGTTTTTTGGAAAATCCCTCCATGTTTACATATTTTTGTTATGACATGACGGACTTTTTCTGTTGACATTTTGGTATTTTATTTGATTCCAATTTGAGATTTTATCATTGTATATTGTTATTCTTTCTATATTTTGTACTTATATTGAAGTTTTTATGTTTGCTTCTGAACTGTATATATGTTGTTTAAATTTGATCTTTAATATGGCTACAGCTCCTGAGAGTAATTGGGACTTGGAAAGTGCATCAAAATTCAGGTATTGATTTGTATTTCCATTTTTAATATAATATAGACCGCTTTCTCCT